ATCACTCACTTTGTGTGGGTCACATTAGCACTATATATCTGTACTTTTCTCCATCTGAAATGTTATGTTTGACCCTGTTGGAAATGTCTAATGTTTAGATGGCATATTAACCTTTTATACTGTAAGTTAAATTAATTATCTGTGCAGTATACTTCATTTCTATGTGGAAGGGTTATATTACAACCTGCCTGTTGAGCAGTCAATTAGCCTGGTAGAATATGTCATTTAGTACTGTTAATGTTATAATATATTGGAATAATAGATTCTAATTATACTTGTACCTTTGTATTTATCTCTTATAGACCAGAGTGGAACTTTCATTACAGTCCTTCCTCAATTCCCTACTTGTCATTGCTAATTAGCATTAGTACAGCTAAGTATAGCCAAACCTTATAAGAATGTCAATTGTTTTGCCATTGTATTTGACAAAGTCAAATGTGACTTGCAGTTGGGGCTGGAGGAAAGGTTTGGGATCACCAAAGTAAGTAGGCGTCATCCTCTGGTAACTAAGAATATCTGTAGACATTTCACTACAGTACATTCCAAAATTGCTGAGATTTAAATCTAGACCAAAGGTTTTAATCTAGCATGGATTTAATAATGTGCATATTCAGTTGTTATTACACCTAATTTTACAAAACACAAGAGATTTCCAAGCAAAACTAAAATCATCATTCCAAACCCAGGGCCCAGAGCCATTGGGATTTCCAAGGAAAGCTTCAACTCTCTGTGCTCATATATATCAACATTGTGCAGTGCTAAAAAAACATATGGGAAAGCCATAGCTTTAGGGAGGACAATGAGGGGATGCAGTCATCTAACTACTCCCAGCTCCTCAGTCCTGGCAAAATGCTAAACAATAATGTTATGCATTCCTCAGGATTCAGAGACATTCTCCAGGCAGCAGCAACGAGCTTAAAAGGAAAAAAACCTAAAAAAAGACTTTGTTTTCAAACTGTTTCTATACAAAACATGAACATTGACATTAGTACAACCCTTGTGCATCACATAATCTCTCCAGAATTTTATTTTAAATGTTGGAGGCTTCATCAGTCATTACAACTTCACAAATCTGCTCTGTGGGATTTATACTGTATAAATCGACGAATCTGCGGCCTTGACTTTTACTACACTTCTTGCGATTAATGTGGAGCTAAAGTAATTTTCACCTGTAGATGTGGGGGAAGGGAGGGGGGTTGGAGCGAAGGGGCGGAGCTATCAGAACGACGAGGCGCAAACTCTGGTCAGTCACACACAGTCACAGCCATAGAGTGGCGAAGTCACGCCCATCTACTTCCGCCCCATGGGACCTTATTTCTGAAAAATTATGTATTGAAGTCAATGGAGAGAGAAAACGTATCCTTCGATCCCGTTACAATTGTGCCATGAATTACACATATGATGTTTGTCAATCTTAAAAAATCATTTCCATGTCAAAAAAGTCAGTTTGTCTTAAAACTGTTGAAATATAAGACTATGAAAAATACGCAACTAGAAAGACTACAAATCCCAGAGTCGCGTACATTAACGTTACAAATTACACTCGTGTTACTCACCGAAACCTTGTATAGCCGGTCCCGCATGCTGGCTCTTACGGAACCGACTTACTCACCTTTTGTGTATGTACAGCTCTCAACATGCCCAGACTTGTAGTGATTTTCACCTATTTTAGTACTTTTCATTTCATTCTGAAAGAAAGGGGGAAATGTGCTCACGTGACGGCCATCTTGGTGTTGGTGACGTATGCAAGACCAGAGATGTAGTTCATTGAGCGCTTCATACAAAAAAATATGTTACTTCACAGTTTTACAACTCATTTTTATTTTTTTGACTTGCAAAATGATCTTTTAAATTGAAAAACATCATATGTGTAATTCGTTGCACAATTCAAACGGGATCAAAAGATAATCTTTCTCTCTCCATTGACTTCAATACATAATTTTTCCGAAATAAGGTCCCATGGAGGTCCCCCGGAAGTGGAGGGACTTCGCCACTCTAGAGTCAGGTCGAACCGGATGACTGCGGGGCCCCACACTGTTGCCCCTTTCACACCAAAGCGGTTCCAGGGCCAGTTCGGAGCTAGAGCCTGATAAGCAGTCTGGTTTTCCTGTTCCGCCGCAGCAGAGCCGCCTCTTTTCCCCGAGAGAGACGCGGTTCTTAACGAAGCTCGACACAAATGTCGGTATAGAAGGCAAGAAACCGCATACATCACGCTTACGTCGGAGGGGGGCACGATTAACCTGAGCTTAAACAGTTTATTGGCGAATACGGCAAATACAAGTTGAAACAAGCCAGTACTGAGCAAAGTTGACTAGAACGCAACCAACACACTTTATAAAGTCAGGTCCTTGAACACAACATGAGCCCCGTAACGTGTCAATCACGTGTATAATGTCCTCGCCGTGACAGGGGTGTATATTTCGACAGGAGAGCACAAGAAACGTCGCTCCGGCACTTCCAAATTGCAGTAACCCATAGGAGCCGCAGCTTTTGCGTGGCTGTGTCTTAGTTTTAAGCCCAGTGGCATCTATTCAGTCTGTCATACTCGATCATACAGTCAATAACGTTTGTTGTTATTAGCCATCTGGTTAGGCTAGCTATGCTAACGAATATATAAGAAGCTTTTCTACAACCAGTGAGGTAAAGGCACACTTTATATGCAATCTTATATGTTAATAAAAAAATAAGAGAATAAAGGTAAACAGGTATAAAATACTATATGACAGTAAAAGAAAGTATGAGTTCTGTTATTAATAAACAAGCAATACANTCGACTACAAAACCATCAACCAGTTGCATAGGATTAAAACATGTCAACACTCACTCACCCCGTCTTAAACATTCCCAAAGAAGTGCCTCTGTCTCTCGTTGTGCTGGATGAAGTCACTGGCGACGAGTAAACCCAAAATAGTCCCAAACAGGCGCAGAGGCATTTTTCTTTTTTACTAGTTGTCCGAGTTCGGGGCCGGCAAATGCTGCCGCCATCTTGCTCAGCTCAGCTCTGTGCTGAGCTCTGAGAGCGGGAAAGACGGACTGCCCTCCCCCTGCCCTCTGCTGGCGCGTGCTGTGCATTACAACCAATGTCGTCCCTGTCAAAACTCCGTGTCAGTGTAATAGAATGAAACGGATCTGTGATTTGGCGCACAGTCTGTGACGTCACGGTATTGAAAATCATACCGACGGTATTTCCAAATACCCTGGTATACCGTAATACCGTCATACCGCCCAAGCCTACTTCTTGTATCCATATCACTCGCTAGAATCTCCCTCCATCCAACTAACAACAAAAACAACTTCAAGCCTTTGGGCTCTGAAACTACGGGGCGGGCCGAGGACAAATACACATGCGTTAATCGCACGTTAAAATAATTTGTGGCGTTAAAATAATTTGTGGCGTTAACCTGTGTGTTTAAATGTTTTAACGCGTTAACTTGACAGCCCTAGTAAGCATATCAAAATGTTCAAATGTGCTAAATACATTGCAAAAAAAAAAAAAAAAGGAGGAGTAAAAGTAGCTCACGACTTGTTTTATTTTTTGAAAGTAGCTCTCATCCTAAGAAAGGTTGGATTTATTCTCTAAATGAAGTGTTTGACACACAAAGGCGTCACCAATGTGATTATCCCTCTTCACAGTGATGTCTTTGAAAATGCCTTTTCCAAAGACCCTGTTATTCCATACGCTTTGTCATCAGATAGTACATGTACCTGTTGCATGATGATGTTGAATCAAGCTGTTTCCAATTGTCCATGTAAAGGACTTTGACGTCAAATCTTGATTAGCGATCGATTCGTCACATCACCACGTCAATGGCTATTCTCATTAAGGGCAAATACAAAGTTCACGCCTCTTCTTATTCAAGGACCTTATGATGAGAGGATTATCTTTATTATCTCTCTAATGAGCCAGACCAATGTCTGCGAACATGGACGCACACTTAGAAATTAGCCAAGCACCGTCAGTTTGATGATATGCACATTAACTCATCATTCTTACCGTCATATGGCATAAATTACCTTCATCTGTCTCGCATCATCAACCCGGGGAGCTGACCCACCTCATCTTACATTAGTATGCCCTGTAAGCTCCTGGCGCCTCACACACTCGCATCTGATCATTGAACAGGAAGCAGGCGAGTGAAGAGAAGTCAAAGTTGAGCTTTGTCGCGAAAGTTGCTTAGCTTGCGGCCGCCGTGCACTTTTCATCAGTTCACAGAGAGTTTACACTATTATGTTTGTTTTTCTGCTCACAAAGTTACAGAGGACAAACCGTCCTTTTTCAAAAAAAGGTGCGTTGAATACTGAATATATTTGCTGACGGTTCAGCATATTTTCCATGCCGAGACAATACGTCTGTGGAAGAGTAAACAGTTTGTTGAAAGTGGTATAGCGTGACAGGTTTTGCTCATAAAACCATAAAGAAAGGAGGGAAAGCGCGTTAATTAGCCATTTTGGAGGCAGATAAACACTTATCGAGGAGAATAGGCAGAAAACCGGAGCTAATATTTGTTGGGAAATGAGGGATAATTCCTTGGCCTGGGTCTGCAGAGATTCCAGAGGAAAGATAAGCCCCCTGTTATGAATAAGTGATGCCGTTGTGGCTCCTTTTACCTCTTTGGGTTACAAAAAGAAAGGGGAGTGTAGAGATGGTGGCAACAGAGCAGGGGTGGTGGTACACAAATTCATTTTTGTACCGATAGCTTGTACCCTGTTCAGCAATTAGGCAGCGATAATAGCTCTATTTTGCACATGAGTGTGTTTTTATAATCAGGTCCTGATATGCTGGAGATAATTTAAACTGCTCTGTGATGAAAATGGGAGGAACAACAACATCATCTTGTTATTTAGCTAACTAGAATCTGTCATGGTTTTTAAGATATGAGGCTTTGATTTAGTTTCTTGCAATTGTAATTCCCTGTAAAAAGACAGCTTGGCTTTTTGGCCGTTGCTATTTACCTGCTTATTATTCCCCTCCCTGAACCGTGTTGTTTTATTTCCAACAGAGCGACCGTTACACCACAGTGAGAAGATCCTCGAGCAGGTGCTGGAGTGGAGTTCTTTAGATTTCCCTAGTTCTGCTTTTCTTGTTATAAAGAAATTCACAGGGTCCAAAAGAGTGGCAGACAAGAAAGGTACAGTACGTAACTAATAATGCTATGATACCAGGGGCGGACTGGTACTACAAATCAGCCCGGGACTCTCGACCGGCCCACTTCGGTACCCAGAGTTCTCGTTAGAATATTTTTTCGCCGGTCAACATGTCCGTTAAATTTTAATTCTTCCGGACAAAATTTGAAAAGTGCCGGTCAAAGGTCTTCTTTGTTATTTATTGAGCTTTAAAACAATTTGATATGCTTCGATATAAAACAAACTGATTGTAGTAGATTAACTATTCAAAGTGTACAGTAACTTACAATAACACGGGAATAATAAAAGGAGCACTCTCTCCCTCTCCTGACAGCCCGTCAGTATGATGCAGCTCGCGGATCAGTAATGAGTGACCCAACAGTAAAACTAAACATATCTATAACTAGTTACGGTAGTTTGAGAGGTAATTAAAATAACTAAGTGTGATATTCTAACCTGAAGTGTGTGTGTTGCTCCGCTCACCGCTGCATGTGATCATGCAGAGCTGCGTGTCGACTCGTCAGCAGCAGCTGATCTCTCTCTCCCGTCAGATTAGACTTTACTCGCGTTTATGTCCATATCGATCAGATCTAGCTAGTTCTAGCTAATGATATGAGTACCTGCTTATTAAAAGACACCTAAACAATAAGCGTCGCTATGCAGCCGGGTGAGGCCGCAAAGTATAGTGCAGCATTATGCATTTGTTTACATGCCCACCGGAACCCCGAGGCATTACCAACAGATCAACGCACAATCAACCCATACAGGACATCTCTTTCTCCATATTAAGTGTTAGACATTAGAATTGACTATTCTTGTCTGTCACATACTCTTCTTGTCTGTCACATAAGTGGGCAAGTTGCGCAACTGATGCGGTATTGCGCTAAGCGGAAATTATTTTGACCAGACACTTTGACCGGAAAGATTTAGATTTGCCGGTCTTCAGCATATTTTACCGGTCATAGTCTGGTAATTACCGGCTAACGGGAACTCTGTCGGTACCGCCGGCCCACCTCGGTGCCACTTCAGTGGACCGGCCCATCGGGATTCGTCCCGAACGTCCCGATGGCAGTCCGCCCCTGTATGATACGATATTTCTTCCTTTTATATTTGATTCATCAATTATCAAAAACAGCCAATGACTTTACTGACTCAATGTTTCAGCACCAGCATGTTGTCCCCTCTGAGCTGACAGTCAATATTCCTCTCCTCCATGTGCTCCACAGCGGATCAGAAGCAGTTTATAAAAGGAGACTTTCTGAAGTTCAACGACGGATCCTCCAAACTGCTGTCGGGGCACAAATTCCAGGACAAATATGTTGTACTACGTGCCGAGAATCTGCTGCTCTACAGAGATATCAAAGTGAGGACACTGTTATCTTCCGTTTAAACTACTGTAAACACTTGTGGGATCTGCATGCAAACACCAGGCATTGAAGGGTATCAAGAGGGAATTTAACGGGTTATAAAACCACTTTAGAAAACCAAAATGTGTTAGAGTATCGCCTACATAACTGCCACTAAATACTTCAAACTCTATCCAAACTATAAAGTGTTCCATCTCTGCGAATAATGTGGAAAATAAAGAATAATGATGGCAGCCCACTCTCTTTGGAAAAATGAAAGATTACATGTTTGCTTCAGTGAGGACCAGCAGGCCTGAGTTCCCCGGAGGCCTTTTCTTCTCCGCACAGTTCTGCAGTGAAACCTGGGAGTCGTAAAGGAGCGAGAAGCAGTGTTAATAATTGATGGAAGTGCTGGGGGAGGGAGAACAACGAGGGGTGTCGAAGGGTGCCTCTCACTGAAAGCTTTTTCCAAATATCAAGTTGCCCAAGAACGCGGCTAATTACCGTGTTAATGCTAAGGAAATTAGAAGTGATCCTGGAATTTAATTGATATAGTTTGGCCTCTACAATTATTACCAGGTCTGTATTTAGCGAACATTATGTTGCATGAAAGCAGGAATGGGTGGTGGGTTGAGGATGTGTATGTGTCAGAGGAACACTTTGATTGTGTTCCCTTTGTTCTTCTGTTCTTTGTTCCTTGGGAGAAAGGTTTGCTGGTAATGATTCAAATTGATTGTCGTGTTGTGATGCTGCACGGATAGTGTTTTTCTTTGGGATTATTTGGTTAGGTTGAGTTGAATATGTTTATTTCTGTTCCCTCTTTAATTGGCTTTGTTTCTGCAGGGCACTAAAGCAGAGAAAGTAATCCAACTCAACTCTCTGAATTGTTACCTGGGCCTGAAGAAAAAGCTCAAACCTCCAACCAGGTAAACTGCACGCACACGAAGAATCTGAATGCATATAATGAGGGACCGATTCAAATATATAATAATAATAATTCATTTATTTTATATAGGCGCCTTTCAAGGCTCTCAAGGTCGCCGTACAAACACATAAAAAACACAATATGTGGTAGATTTACTGAGACTACCAAATTCTTAAATGTAACTAAAGTTTTGAGTTGCATTTCCTTCAATGCACTGCTATGCTAATAAGCATAAGGATGTTATGTAGTTCTTATGTTTCATGTTGTGTGCTGTCATCTATGTTTATAGTTTTTAGTGCAAAGCAAATTCCTCAAGAGGCAAATGTGTCCTTCATCCATTAATACTTTCGTTTTGCCACAAAAAGGAAAGCTACATGCAAGAAAAGGGTGCTTAATAATATGAAGGTTGCATCAAATTAAAAAAGGTCTCCTTAAATAATAAAACATTTTCCGTAAAATAGGTACATGGAAGGAGAAGCCATCTTACCTCGAGGCCACTTTCTTTGTTGCTTTCAAAGCGCAAACTAAGCGGACTTCCCTTTTTATTTTAAATTCCAAGGCCAGCATCAAGCTTTTAGATCTCACATACATTACACTTACATTTTGTGAAGGATGGGTTTTAAAGTAAAATACATGTTGGTGTTTGTGCTTTGACAAGATTACCGCTGTAAATGGATCAAAACAAGCTGAAGTGTAATCAGTGTATGATTGGCTGCTGTGAGCAAAACCTAGGATTGCATCTCGTGTTAAACCGAGAAAAATATAAATCCACCTCTTGCAAAGTGCAATTTATGAGCATTTGTTCATTTGCTGCAATATCCTCTGTTTCCATCAGTAACATAGATTTCATTGTCATATGGATATTACTGAAATGAGGATGATGTGGATATTCTCTCCCTCTCCGTGAGCAGCAAATAAAACAAAAGTGCTGCAAATGTTATACTTGCTTCTCCGAGACATTAAATCACAGCCACAACTGCGCCTGCCACAGCGGTCAATCCACATTTATGAGTTAGCTTTTATGGTCATTGGTGTAAAGTTCCCTTCACTCCTCGCATAACTATTTGGCAGAGGTGGAAGAAGCCCTCAGATTGTTTCACTCGTGGTAAAAGTGGCAACACTAGCTGGTAACAGTAATCTGCTACAAGTAAAGTCCTATATTCAAAGTCTACAAGATATTCATCAAACTAAATTAATGGCAAAAGTACTTGTCACGCGTAATGGTCCATTTTAGAATAAAACATTAAATGTCTGGTTATAGACTATTAATGCATTACAGCTTGCAAATGAAGAGCTAGTTGTAACTGCCTTGTATACTGCTGCTGGATATTTTAAAGGGGCCCATTTATGCTCTTTGGGGTGTTCCCTTTCCTGTGAGGATTATATATGTTTTTGTAAAAAAGAAAGCCTTTTGTTTAACATTAAAGCATGTCAACTTGTCACAGTAAAGGCAATAATGAGCCTGAAAATGAGCCCCTTTAAACTATTACTATACATCAATGTTAATTTTGTATATTGTCTTTTTTTCTTTAGCTAATAATCAAAATATATGAAGTAACTACAGCTGATTAATAAGTGTAATGGCGTAAACGTACACTATTTGGCTTCTTCAATGTAGTAGAGTAGAATTATAAAGTAGTATAAATTGAAAATAATCAGGTATAAGTACTTAAAGGGGGCCTATCATGCAAAATGCACTTTAGTACGTCTTTTATACATGAATATGTGACCCCGGTGTGTCAGGGAACTCACCAAGTGTCAGAAAACACAACCCTCTCTCTTTTCCTCCATACCCAAATCTCCAAAAACGGGGCTGATACAGATTTGAATTTTGAGACGTCAGAAAAGGGGTGCTCCGCCTATATGGGCAACTCGCCACCTATCAGGGGAATGTGGGGTTGGGCTACGGCCATTGCCGCTCGAAAGCGCTGGAGACGCTGTAGTACATATGCCAGGCCTGTAGGTGGCGCTGTAGTCTGCCACAAAAGCAGCGAAGAAGACTTCTCACAGATTCAGCCCTTGCGGGGCTAAAAATGAGCAAATAGAGCGAAATGAGGCATGGCTAAAATGCATGATCTGTTTGGTATTTTGAAAAAGAAACTTCACAGACATGTTTTATATAGGTATGGCCCTACAATATATGTTTCAAATATAGCTTGATAGGTCCACTTTAAGTTAATGTACTTTATTACATTCTGCCACTGCTATTTGGTGCAGTAAATGCAAAACATGTAGATATTTTGCAATATTTGTTTTGCTGCATATGAAATGTGTTCAACGTGATTCACTACAGCCAACACAACATTTGTAACCTCCCTTCTGTGATATCCAGAGCAACAAGTCATTATTTAGCATTATCTACGACTGTCTCTTTCTGTGTGTAAACAATGCATTTCCCCAAAGATATATCATCCTTTCTCATCCCTCGGAATTAAGCATCACCTGACCCTCATCTTATTTTTCACTGTCCTGGAATTGATTAAATGTAATTGCATTTTAACAAACACAAATTATCCCGCACATAGAAAAACACGTTTTATTTTTAATGATCTTCTATTATTATAATTTACGACACATGCCTCTGCACTTCCTGTTGGTCAAACAAAGAGGGAGAGAAAAACAAAATCCAGAAGCCAAACACCATATTTCACATTACCCACACTCATCATTTTCCCCGTGTCGGAATTTGGAGTCTGGGGAAGCGTGAAAAATGTATTGTCTGCATTACGGCGTCCTTAAGGGGAGAAGGAATGGATAAGAGAGCTGGAGTGGGAGAAGAGGAGAGGTGGGGAAAAAGGGAGAGTGTGGTATTATAGATATACCGTTGAGTGGGAGAAGTGATACGCTGAATAAAGAAAAGAAGAGTGCTGAGGAGAGTCATAGCGAGAGGGTGAGCGCTGCAGTACCTCATTAGACAGAGGTCTATCTGTGCAGGGCTGGATCGGCCGCCTTAACTCACAGGAGTGGTGCTCCAGGCTCTCTCTCTGCCCCCTCTCTCGCTTTGTTCTTCCCCCACTCCTCTGCTCCTGCTGTGAAGGGTTTTAGGGGAGGTGTATTCTCGAGGACGGTGGTCTTTTCACCTTATACTGCCTCTGAACAGGTTCATTCACACACATACATGCATTTATAAACCTTTAAGCGTACAAAAAGACTGACAGTGTGGGAAGATTTTCTTTATCTCAACTCATCCTGCCTCGCAGCATCGTACAGCTAATTCAAAATTCACGTACAGCGAATGCATTCGGTATCTCTTGCATCTCTCCAAACAAATTGTACTTTATGGTTTATAATGAGCAGCATGGGTTTGGTACACTGTACGTTTTGACCCTGAGCATATTGAGGTCTGCTCTTGCATAAACATGTGGGTTTGAAAGCCGCTGATTGATTTAATTAATTCCACTGTTTAGCACCTAGATTTCATTGTGAACTCTTTGCATTTTGATATCAAGGTTTTGACCTGCTGTTATCTTCAGCACTACTTTCTCAACAACTTTTTCTTGACTTCTTTAATTCCACTTTCCTCTCACAAAAACATGTTTATAACCACTGCCGTGAAAGTATTTTTGTGCACAGGAAACAAGTTGCTGTTTGCAGAAGCGACATCTGACCTGTGTCTTTTTCGTTCAACAGCTGGGGCTTCACTGTCTACACTGATAAACAACAATGGTAAGTGTCGTGCAGAAATTCTAATTCAATAATTGATGAGTTTAACTTTGAACCCTTCCGCTTAAATTATCTCCGAAACACAAAGGTGGCAGGAAGTTAAACAGTTTCATTTATGGCACTTTGTTATGCTCCAAGTGGTTTGATAGTGATGTTCAAACGTACTAATGATCACATGGTGAGAGGGTATACTCACAGGAAGTGAATTTCACTTAGATGTTCTCGTTTTTATTTTTATTTTAATAAAATAGATCTCTCTGTAGCTTCCTAGTTTTATCTGCAGCTTTCCATAAAAAAAGGTTGCAACTTTTATAACATTTCTAATATCAGTTTTTCTCAGGTTATTTACAATATACCTTTCTTGGATGTGGATATTTCTCACAAAATGGGAGAAAATGGAAGAAATCATTTTAAATACAAATTAATGGGTTATTATTTTTGTTTTAGCCATGCTAGCTGGCTAAACTCTAGTGATATCTGAGCTAGTTGTTCATGCCACTACATTGGTCAAAACTAAAGTATCAGATTTTGTACATCATCATATCATACACTTTGTCCCACGAAGAATATAAAAATGTTGTGATCCCAATTGAATACATCATTAGTTTTGCTAGCTATGTATGTAGCTATTAGATGTAATTAAGAGCATTGAAGACAAAGGTGCGAGAGCAGTGCTTCTCAAAGTGTGGTCCGCGGACCACTGGTGGTCCGTGAACGCCCCCTAGTGGTCCGTGAGTATATTGGTAACATTTCACATTTGAAATAAATAAATACATTTAAGTTTTCTGCACTCTCGCAGGAATATCTCCGCAATGGAGCAAGCTTACGTTTCACTTTTGATTGCACGGAGATATTCCTGCGAGAGTGCAGAAAACTTAAATGTATTTATTTATTTCAAATGTGAAATGTTNCTCACCCTGACAAGACAAGAATTTCTCGCACCTCGGTCACCCCGAACTCCCACCCAGAGTAGGGAGGAACTAATGTCCTGGACTGAGTCGTGGTATGTTACCTGTTGGTGTCCCACAGTGTTTACACAGTCTATTTACATAAACATTAAAGTGATTTTATTTTTATATGAAAAAGAGATGACGACAATTATGATCTGCTTACTTAAATGAATTCCCCGGGATAAATACGAAAAACCCCAAAGGGGAAAAGTGACATATAATAAAAAAGTAAAATATATATATATATGTGTCCGTATGTTATAGGTGTATGAAATGAGGATCAGGTGGATGGATGATAGGAATGAATAAAAGGTGATTGGTTATGACAACATTTTTTTGTAAAAGACGGTTTAAATGAAATATTAAATAGACCATCGATGAAATAATGCAAATCAGAGTGACGAAGAAGGTGGAAAGAGATAGCCAGCAACACTTTTCATGTAAACAAGACACGTACACACACAGGTGGGAGGGGGACCCGTCTGTGAAGAGTGTGTGCCGCAACGAACCCCACACGAGCTCGTTAACGGAAGACCTCCGCCAACATACTCAGGCCGTCAGGTCCTCCCGAAAACGTGAAGACGTCTGACGCCAGGAGGAACTTCGCCGACCGAGGCCGTCCCGTGCGTAGGCCGTAAGAGAGGTATTGTTTCGGTTAAGAGACCCCCCTAATTGCCCTCCTTTATGTGGTCGCATTCTACCAAAACCCACACTAAACCCCTCCTACATGTCGACGACCTTTTCCCTGAACTTACACCTGATCGGCCCCCAGACTTAACTTTCTTACTAGTAACCCAAGCGCCCTAGTCTCACCACTTGTTTCCGGCCGGAGAAAACTCTCAGTAGAATGTGACCGTTTGATTAGAGGGATCGAGAGAGGCAAACTTTCTCGATGCCATGCCCTGTGCACCAGACCAGCACTCCTCAGTTTGCTCATTTGTTATTTGTGACCAGTTTGGATGCTATAAATTAATTATTGTTTTGGGCAACTTTTGTTTAAAGATTCTTTAAAGAGCCAGCTTGTAACGCAATGTAAAGAAACTCGGTTCAACACTGGATTTTGGTTAAAAATACACATTATGTTACTTGTTAGAGGCTTTTATCCAAAGCAACTTACATACTCAATACTGTGGGCAATCTCCACAGGAGCAATTTGGGGTGACTGCAGTGGGGTTTTGAACCTGTGCTCCCTGGATCCGAACACCAATGCTCTATGCACTGCGCCACACGCCTTCACCAGTATCATCTGCAAGTTTTTCCATTTCCCAAAGTAAAATCCTTTCAGTGTTAATGTATACATAATGTAACTAGGTTATTATAATAAATACATTATCAATGCTGTTACTGGCAACACATCACATCTGTTATGTAGATTACTTGATACAAATATGTTGTATTTTATATCTACTGTAAGCATCTTCTGACACCTTGAAGGCTAGGTTCACAATTCAACAATATCCTGAGGCCAATGAGATTATTAGGGTGTGTAATGCTATAATCTTTCCTTCTGTGCATACTGGGCATTATAAAGATTCCTTTCTAATGTGCTTTCAATGGAGGCGACGAAGGACAAAACCACAGTCCCGTTGTGAGCCAAAATACATTCCAATGTTCAGCCTAGGCTAAAAGGAGGTTTCGGCGTTATTTGGGTGTATATTAAAGTGAAATAATGAAAGTTACCATTTCTCAACTGAAGCTCAGCAAGGAAACACTTATGTGGAGATACAAAACAGATATTTGGTACTAAAATAAATAATTTAAATCAGTAAATACAAAAAATATAGCATTTTCAAAATGAAGTGACAAAGTGCTTTACAAGAAAACATAGAAACATAAAAAATAAACACAATTTAAAAGAAGGCTATTTAAATATATATATGTAAATATCTATACGGTACAATATGGAGTGAATGATAAAATACGAGAAAAAAAGTAACAAAACAATAATTTGATATTTCAAAATAATAATAAATGTGGTTTTAAGTAGTAATTTAACAGATAAAATAACATTATCAGCTCTTTTTTTTCTGACTTGTAGCCGTTACAGCTTTTGCACAAAATGAGATGTTTTGAGTATTTATTTTTATAACTTTCTTCAAGGTAATTCAAGTTGCTGTTTGAGAAATTATCGATAAAAGCAGGAATTGTGTTTGTCTTAAAACAAGTGTAGAACATTATTAAGTGTGATATTTGAGTAAGAGTGAGACGTTTTATTGTCAAAACAGAATAGAGACACTCAGTTCCAACTGCCGACGTTGTTATGTTGACTTGTAGTATTGTGGAGGAGGCCAGTGCACAATATATTCACAACAAAAGTTTAATTAAAAATATTGTTGACTGCCCCCAACATAAATAAAACTTGTTCTGCATAATAAGCCACAGTAGCAGGTGCTACCATGCATGAACTCTGCTATTGTCCCCGGTTATCTTTTCTCCCAGTATGTGATATGGGAGTGCAAAACGTCTATCATTGCCTAACCTTGATGCAGACTATCTGCTGTGTTTCTTCCCGACAGGAGCTCATAACAGAGGAAATATTCAGAGGCTGACATTGTGTAGGACAGCATGTTCACTTCCCACTGAGGGAGGCATGGAGCAGAGACACATAGCTGGATAAGATACAAGAAGAGAAGAACATGATCCCTGTTACAGTGGGCACCGTGTTCCCGGCAGGTATTTAGGAGTAGTGGATGAGCTCAACTGTTAATATGCTATATTGAGATGAAATTTGGCCTCGTTTCTGGGTCTGTGTGACCGACAAAGTGCTACCAATTTAATTCAATAAGAACGTAAACTGGAGTATAAATATTATAAATATGTGGCCCTGATATGAACAGCACCTTACGATACAAAATCAGCAGTTGGCAAATAAACACATTAGTACATGCAAGCTGAAATACACTTATGTACATTGAATTATATGTCATTTAGCTGACACTTCAGTATCTTGCCCAAGGAAACTTCAACATGTCAAATGCAGGAATCAAACGCCACTTCTTGGATAAAAATGTAATAATGTGGTTTGGTCCTGCCTCGTTCTGACTAACGGCAATTTCAATTCCAAACATTCCTCAATTTACATTACCAACACTTATTTAAAGGTCCCATGTCATGGCCATTTATACTGATCATAATTCCATTGTTGAGGTCTACTAGAATAGATTTACATTGTTCAATATTCCAAAATCACATTGGTTTCTCATACACCATCTGTGTATAATATGTGTATTCACTCTCTG